GATCCAATCGTGGAGGCTCAAGCCTTGACGCACGCGCGGAGTGGGGCGAGGCTTCGCTGCAGGATCCAATCGTGGAGGCTCAAGCCTTGACGCACTCGCGGAGTGGGGCGGGGCTTCGCTGCTTGCGTTGGCCCTTGACCCCGGGCGCAGGGTGTCGCGCCGTGGGGCGGGGCTTCGCCGTCAGCTCCTCCCTCCGCGCATTACCCGCCTCGGTGGGTCTCCCCGTGGTGCGTGACAGGAGGGCTGCGTACCCCGCTGAGGACTAGTTGAGGGGGACAGTGGCCGCGGGAAGGACCGTGGCCTCCGAGCTGCCCACCCCGGTGACCACCCGGCTCTCTGGCCCTCCGCCTGGAGGACAGGCGTCAACTGAGCGGATCACCCGCACACCGCACATCTCTGCGAAGTAGCCTCACACTCGGTGCTGCTCGGTGATCGGTGGTGCTTGTGCATGCGCGGTGTCACTGCCCAGCCTTCCCAGACGGCCGGGTGCCCAGATCGGGAATGTCCGCAAGCCTCTCTTCGGTGTGTGTGGACACTCACTCTGCTTGGGCATGGAGCCAGCACCGCACACACTTCTTTGCTGTCAGGCAAAAGCCATAGCTTTTGGTCAGCAAATGTCACCACCAGCTTTGACCTAATTTCAGCAGCCTTGGGGAAGGGATGGGGCGTTTCACACTAGGACACGTCTGACTTCCCCTTTGCTAAGCAAGAGGGCACATCCTGGAAACTGCCCACAAGAGCCCCCTAGTCTTGGGCCATCGGATTTGAGGACAGGGACACTGGGGAGGAGGCCAGGCCGACCTGGCCTGCCAAGGGAGCGCCAAGCAAGGCCAAGGAGCCACTATGCAGTGGCCCCCAGGCCTGGCCGAGCATGGAAGCACCAGGAGGAGGCTGCGCTTCCCTCACACATCTGGGACTCCTAATGAGTGGCTCTAATCCTCTCCATTACTGCACCTTCCAGAGAAGTACACGTTTCCTCTGTACCAGGAATCGCACCGCTCTTCAGGAAAGGAAAGTCAGACATGTACACATCATGAATGAAACTACATTACATTCCAACACCCTTTTCCTCTCCCCAGGAACAGAGGCCGTGAGGACATCATCTTAAAACGCTGGGATGTATGTCCCGTAAAGGCCACTAACCATTCGGGAATCCCTCAAACAGCATTGCTGAAAAGTCTTCGTTGTGGCTCTTGAAAGTCACCAATTAAACTACAAGATAAACCATTTTCTTCCCATTAACAATTCTGGTCTTCAGCCCCAGGTAACGGTGGTTATTCTTTTCTGGCTGTCCATAGAGCATTTCAGTGGCAAACTCTGGGTCATCTTTGGACCTGGTTTGGAAGGTCAAACAGCGAAACGCCAGCCTTAGCTTATGACACAGATAGGTGATAGCCTCTACTTCCTCTGACGGCTCTTCATACACGGGCTGTTTCATCTCTTCAAAGGCAGACAAGATCACTGCTCGAAACAAGTTGGTCAACGTGCAGATGATGATCAGTACAAAAGATGCAAGGGAAAGGACCTCAAGAATCCAGTTACGGGAAAATTCAGTGTTCTGAAAAGCTGAGGTACAGTAAGAGAATACTGTCTGCGTGGCATGAATCAAGGTACTGTAGTTCCATTCATGCTGGCCAAATACTAGGTAGCCAAAAGCCACGTATATGAAGAAATAAACAGACACCAGAAAGGCCATATGGCAGATACCCAGAAGAGCTATTTGGATGGTTCTCTGAGCCAGTCGCACATTGTAGAAGATTCTTGCATACTTGAGGGTTTTCAGAATGGTCAGAAATAAAAGGAAACCCAAAACTATCCTCATGAGGCGATCTACTTGAGAAACAGCATGAAATGGGATGAAATCCTGAGGATGAGACAAGTAAAACGTGATGATGTCGGTGGTCAGGAGGTACTTCCTGAAAAGCAGTGCAATCAGAACAGCGAATAGGCATTTCAAAACCAAATTCAGCAAATTATACCCACTTCTCACATACGAGGTTCGTTGTTCCACAATAACATGGCCCTCATTGATGATATATGCTAAGAAAAAAAGAAGAATGGCCAGGCACAAGGAGATCTCCAAATGGTTCGTCTTGAAGTCAGAAAGTGCAAAAGAGTGCACAGATGCACTTGAGTTTACAATCCCAATCTGAGAAACCTCGAATATGACAGAAATGCTGCAGAACAGATTCACATCTGGATTAAAAGTCGTGAGTTCCAAAATCACAGCCCATGTCTTCTCATCAAGCCAGTTACCGTCTTTGAGTTCCTTCAGTCGCAATGTGGAATTAAATTGCTGCTGATCCGGGAAAAAATAGAATACATAGCCTCCTGGCCCGTAGGTATGTAACAGTCCATAGGAGTGATACATCCATTTCTTTTCTTGTCGTTGGTAAATAAACCCATTGGGGTTCATGCCAGTAGCCTGCTTACCAGCATCCTGCCAAGAGCTGGAATAGTTTTGGGTGTCTTCTGGATCTATACCATACTCGGGATGACATTGAATTTCCCACTTGATGTCATTGAGGACTAGGTTTTTGTCAGACAGACACTTTTTTCTATTAGGCATGGCTCTTACCTGCCGCATCAACGGAAGGCCAAGGATTTTAGATGAACTGTCAAAAAGAAATGTTGGATTCAGGTCATTGTGGAACAAAGGTACCACCACCTTGTTTAGCCACCTATAGATGTGCTCCAACTTTGTGACCGAACCAAGGTCCACAGAGAAATAATCCCAAATGAACCGGTTATAATAAAAGCTGTCATCATGGCGCAGGAGTGCAAGGAGGCCAAGCAGGAGGCCGAGGAAGATAAAGTGTGTCAGAATAGAGCTTAGGAAGAGGAGCGCTCTTCTCTTGATCTTCTTCCTCCTTCTGAATATTCTGATCTCATCCTCTGTGAGGGGCTGGTACATCCTGGTGCCCTGTACGTGTTTGATATGGAGGTGCTGCTTTTGCTTCTCTGCTGGAGTCTTCTGCAGCTCCCCGAGCTTGAGCTCTGTGTACTGATATTTAGATGTCCACGGAATGTTCGCATGGTACTTGGTCTTCTGTGTTTTGAAACATGACAAGAGCATAATTTTAGATGTCTGCACCAGAAAAATGGACTGAAAGAATGAACACGCAGATGTGAAGAGCCATCTTAATGACAGATCGTAACCATAGGTCAGTCCATAAAATACAATGAGAAATGACGAGGTACCACAAATGGCAATAATCAGGAACCACGCTATGTAAATACACCACCAAGGCAAAAAAATCTTCTGTTTAAACTTAGGTGTCTCTTCAGAAGGGCTCTCTTCAAAAAGTATATTCTCATTGTTACTGTTCAAATTCCTGTTTCTGTCCTGTGTCAATCCGGTCTTGGTCTCTGTTTCCCCAGGCTGGCCCTGGGGTTTGGAGGTTGACTGGCTGGAGGCCCTAGGACGTTTATGATTACCCTCAGATGTGCGCTTTCTAGACTTTTTGGTCTGTTCCTTGTGGATTTCATGAATATACCACTTTTTCAGACGGTCCTCCCATGATTCTTTTCCTTCTGACAGAGGGGGATACTTTCGAGGCGCTACCTCCCCTGGACTCATTTGAATAGCTGTCTTCTGGGAGTAGGTGAACAAAAAACTTAGTAATAGCTGTACAGGGACTGTGATTAAGGCACTTTCAATTCCTATCATCATCAGTCTGATGTAGTAGAGTCTCTTTGATCCCAGCTTTTCTTTTCGATTGGCATTAAAGAACATAATATTACAAAGAAGACTGCTCAACAACACCGCCAAACAACAAGACAGCCTCTGTAGCCGGTTGACAGGCTTAGCGACGACACTGGAAAAAACAGAGAACCACATGTGACTCTTTCCCAGCTCGTAAGAATTTCTAATAAGGAAAAAGTCCTTTCTGCTTAGAGGTTCTTCTTTGTTCGCGGCATGAAACGTCCTGTCCAGAGACGTGTCCACAGAAAGCCACTTTCGGCACATGAACAACCAAATGTGCCTGGTGAAGAGATTTTCCACTTTGACTCGGCTTAAATACCAGCTGGGTGCTTTGCCCTCATTGTTGTGCCACACATGAATAGTGTGTACGTCCCCCAGGTCACTCTCCGTCGTCAGCAGGAAAGTGTTGATGCTTCCTCGGTAAAGAGTTCTGTAATGTGGGTGGCTTAAACAGTGCACATCACTGGTACCCTCTGTTCCTATCAGCTGAATAAAAACATCAGCTCTGGTTCCAGAGCCCCATCGACTCCCTGTGAAAACGGTGACCAGGTAGCACACGTTGTCGTAAGGGTCATTGTCGGGGAGGACTATCACCTGGTGCCTGCTCGCGGGGTCCAGCTCATCCCTGTGCAAGGCCCAGAAAGCGAGGCCCGTGTAGATGAGCATGATAAAGAGCACTGTGAAGAGGGTCACGGGATTCTGCGTGATGGTCTTAAAGGTCTCCAGCTGTATGTCCACAGGATTGGGGATCACAAACACCTTGGCCGTCAGAAAGTGGGCCCGCAGCTGAATGCCGGCCAGGTTAAAAGAAGACCCCAGGTCTCGCCTGGTCCTCACTCTGTTCTTGCAGATACAGTGCACTTGGTGTCCGCTAGTGTTCTCACCTAGGACACAGTCTTCCCTCCACTGACTCTGGATTCCGTCCATGTTCAGACAGTGAACACTGAAAAGAGTAATTTTCACGAGTTCATCATTGGGCGTCAAGACAAACTGCGGAGCCTGCAGAACCACAGACACGTTATACCTGGATGAGCTGCTGTACCGGGCCATCACCTGCAGCAGGGACTGGGGAAAGCAGATGACACGGGCCTTCTTCACCGAGCAGGCTGCATCGAAGAGGCTGTTCTGGCTGGCAGAGGGAGGCATGTCATGGGGCACCAGGAAGGTGGCCATCAGAGCAGTGGGCGTGATCCTGCTGCCTGCATACACGAACACCGTGAACAGTACGGTGATGTTGGTCTCAACGTGGACCAGCAATTCCTTGACTGCTTCACTGTCCACTTCAAAGCGAAACCCCCCGGTCGTCTTTTTCAAGGGGTCATCACCCTCGTCAGGCTCGCTGTTGGGCCCCACTGTGAGATTAAAAGGGGCAGGAGTCAGGTCTCTTCTGGTGATGTAGACTTCCACTACGTCGGGCGTGATGTCAATCACATCACCATCAGCTTTGGTTCCTGTCATTAGAAATGCAACCACATCTGCTGAAATGTTTACCCCTTGGTTTAGCCAAGGAAAAGGGTCCTCTGCAAACTCGAAAAACAGCGTAGAAACCAGGCCATTGAGAGGCACGTCAGGAACACTGTTCACATGCAGTGTGAGGTAGAAGCAGTTTCGGCAGTTTGGCTCGTTGACAAAGAGATTAGTAACGTCCCACATCTCAGTTTTCTTTGCATACACGTTGATACTTGAGCTCTTCAGAGCTGTGGTTTCAGTCCCCGGCACTTGCCTAGTGAGTATTGTATTGGCTAGAGATTCCATCAGATAGAAAAGATCTTTATAATCTTCATGAGGCAGTCTCTGCTTAAAGATGTAAGACCAAATAATAAGTATTCCAGTGATCACTGTTTTTATTTGTTCATTATGGAGTTGCGTGTTGGTTTTTATATAAGCTTGGAGGGCTTGATTTACTTGCCATACACCCGTGACAGCAAGTTCCTGAACATCATGGGTAAATTCGGGGCCTGCCTGGGTTAACAGAGTAAACGCCACGACAGCCTGGCTGCATTCCTCCAGGGTGGTTAGAGGAAGAAGGGACGTCACATTGAGAAGGTGTAATCGTATGCTGGTTTTGGCATCGACGAGAGATAAGTCAGTTCTCATGGTATTCAAAACAGAAGCTACCACACATACTAGGTAACCTGCAGATAAAACATCCCGATTTTGAAGCAAGGTCGACAGTAGTGAGTTTGGTCCCATGGTAGCATCGCGGATCTGATCCAGCAAGGTTCTCGGGGAGATGCTGGTAGGCGTCTCCACAGTGGCATACAAAGTCTTTTGAGTAAAAGATCCCACAGAGTCATAAACCTGAACATAGACCTTCAGGGCCTGATTGGCCAATAAACCAACTGGAAGAAAGGAAGGGGGTGTACTGGACAGAGTCCCCAAGTACAGGATGGCCCTCAAGGAATTCTCTCGTACAGAACTAACTTCAGCAGTACCGGAAAAATCAGAAGCCATTATCATATATGTGAGAGGGCTGTCCTTGTCCTTAAAATTGTTACAACTGATGACAAATTTAGTAACAAATGCAATTCCTCGTGTTGGATTAATTTTGCACTCTCCAAGTTCAGGGCTGTGGTTGATAAGAAAAGAATGTATAAACATTGAGATGACCCCACCCCAAGTCTCTGTTTGCAGAGAAATCGCGTAGGTGCTCTCAGCAAATGACTTAAAAGCAAAAGGCTTGATAGCCACATAACTCTTATTCCTCCCTGTCAGACTTTGTTCTGTCCAGTCGAATGGTACCTCGGGAACTCTTCTTGTTGTAATGGCCCACTTACAGAAGACACGGGTCGTGGCACAATTTGTGCAATTAAAAAACAAAGACATTCTCTCTGATAGAATTAAATTCCAAGCACAGTTTTCAATGCATGAAATACTTGCTTTGGGTTCTGTTCCCTGGAGCACCCTCACTATTTTATCAGCATATGAGTACCTGTCATCTTTCTGTACCACCAATCTGAAATAATGTGCACGGTTCCCTTTCAAAGTTTTTGGTAAAAGTGTGAGCACAGGGCCAGGGTCCCAGGGCCAGTGCAGGTCCTTTTGCTCGGGGAGGCAAGTGTATGGACTATACAGTATGATTTTCTCTGCTTGGTAATGTCCCATTTCTGTGGTGCAGAACCAAAAAAAATTGAGCCCCTCAAATGGATCCTCAGCATCTAGATCCAAGGACTTTGAACCGTCCAGAACCAGCCCATCTGTGAAACTGATTATCACTGTGTGATCCCCAAGAAGAACGGCCTTCAGAGGGCTCCTAACAACCTGGAGGTAGAAGTGGTCAGAGCCTTTGGCCAAGGGATTTACTGGATCAGACGTGGTGACTGTCACGACGAACTGAACCACATACATGCCCAAGGTTAAAGAGGACTTGGGGATGTGCAGCACTGAGGAGTTCGTCCTCGTTTGGAGTTGCGGAACATCCAGAGGTCGCGTCCAGTCGGGCACGTGCTGTACGGAAGGCACGGAAAAGATCTCCCAGTGCTGGTTGAAGGAGATGGCATCTGGGCAGTCGATGGCCCCGATGGCATTAAGGGTCATCTCCGTCTTCCGGTGCAGCTGCACTGACCGGAGCTTTTTGTCCCTGCTGATCTTGACCTGGGTGATGAGGCAGGGCTTCATCTGGCAGGACACTGAAGACTCCATGGCTTTGGGGGAGGAGTTGACAGCCTCCAGGGTCAGCGGCTCGGGGCCGAGTGGGGGACACCTGATCTCAGCCGCGAAGCCCGCGTGGGGCCGGGGGCCAGCGGACTGCGTGGCGCGG